CTCGATGCCGGTAGGTGGGGGTAAAAGTGGTGGGGCTGGATTCCCTGTTGCCGGGGAGCCAAATGTGCATCACTGGACAAGGCTACGTTCAGCAAGCGCAACGGTTGCACAACGGTTCAGTGAAAAGCTGCTGAACGCGCTGTTGTCAGTGCCCGATATGCAACGTGTTTATTGAGCGGACGCCATTTTTTCCATCATATTTTAAGACCGCTACCTAAGCTCAACATGTTGTCGGTAAGCAACATAATCTAAATAGACACATTTTTTCTATTCAGAAGACTAGAAGGAATCTGCCGAATCTGCCGAAATGTTTTTAAAATATGGTCGAATTGGAAAGGGAATATAATTATAATAATATCATATATAAAGTCTTTGCAACAAGAGATGTACACAACAGTTTACAGAACAGTATATAAAATTATCTATCTTTTGCTTGTAAAATATAAAGGGTATTTCGCATTATAATAGGTGAAATGTCACTGGAACGCTTTTTGGAAAATAATGTTGCAAATATGTTTCTATGCCGGAAAAAGTAAGTTTGCATCATTTTACCGCCCGCCCGCCCCCCTTCCGCCTCCGGGGGGCCCAAAAAACCACATTTTTTACATTTTAATTTATTTCTTAATAACAGTATCTTGTAAACATTTGAAAAAATTCATACCTACTTAAACTTCAAGATATAGAGAATGTGCTCAAATTTTTTCAAATTTAATTTGCACAATTTCATAGTAAAAAAAAATTGAAAAGTTTTAAAATGTCTGTAACTCTTAGGTCGAAGACGGTACACCAGATTTTTTTTCATTAAAAGTTGTAATTTTAGATACTTTAAGTGATCATATATGTATTTTCTTATTATAAATGGTGCGACATTGTCAAAAATGAAAAAAAAGGTGTTTTTTAGCATATTTTTCCCTATATTCTGGCCCGATGTATTATAAAAATCGGCAAAAATATCTAACATATAGACAACATGCAAAGAACTGTATCTGAATTTTTTCACATTTTTTAACGTCTTTTGTTGCGTGATTTTTTATTTTTTTATATTTTTTATTTTTATATATAATATATAAATATTATATATAATCTAATCACTATATATATAGGATAGCACTAATCACCGGCATGGCAGTGGACAAGAATTAAACACTATTTATAATGTTATGTATGGTGTAGCGCGAATCGCTTATTCTATTAAATATTTAAATATTTGAATTCTCGCTAGACTTCCTACCTTCGCGAGCGCGGGGAGATAAAGGAGCGCGGGGAGGCAGCATATGTCGCGGAACGCCGCGAACGGAATTTGGAAAAATCCGTTTCGTTCCCCGCACTTGCCAGATCCGTTTCGACCACCGACCGGGCGTGGGATATTTATTTGTTAACGCAACATGCGTTGGTTCGATAATTCGCATGCGTGATTTGTACAAACGATTTGATTGTATTCCCTGATTGCTAGATTAAGTGACACTCTTGGATTATTTGGTGTTGCAACCAGTTCTGCCAGCGGGTGGATTTGCGAGCGTGTTTGAACAGCAGCGAGTTATACGTACTGATCTTTATTCGGACTATACTCACAAGTCGATTAATAATGGAAAGTTGACAGCGATAAATATTTGATAAAGATCATTTTGTAGCGCACGACTGACTTTCTATTATTTCGAGTCGTCCTTCTCTCCCAATTTCTTCGTCGGTCTATCGCCTAATATTTTGGCGGAGCGCCGCGGTCTTTTGCACACCAGCTTTCGCTCTATTTTTCCGCGAGTGTTTTGGCTCTCTCTCTCTCTCTCTCTCTCTCTCTCTCTCTCATCTCTCTCTCTCTCTCTCTCTCTAACGGGAATAGATCCACGCCGCCTCCGCGGGCAGAGTTGTGCTAATTCAATTACATTGTATTTCAATTACGCAATTTAATTACATTATATTTCAATTACATCGTAATTCAATTGCGTTGTAATTTAATTATATAATTCAGGCTTTTCAGTTAATTTAATTGCTGATTATTTTAATGATGAATGTAATTGAAATATAATGTAATTGAAATACATTGTAATTGAAATACATTGTAATTAAAACACAACGTATTTTCGTTTTTTATCTATACGGTGTGGTTTCCTCTATCCGTTCATAGTATGTGACTTATGTTTGTTTTCTATCTATCCTTGTTTCATGTCCGTACTGCGCAGTACGCAGTATTGATACGTGCATGGTATAAAGACAAGGGTATGCTCATCTCGTGGAAACCCACACCGAAAAAATTGTATTCTTGAAAGATGTACTTAATATTTCCTCTTAATAGATATAAGAATATTTCCTCTTAAAGTAAGAATATATTCTTGATTTGCGAATGGGATCGTTGCTAACACGCGCGTCTCGGCGCTGTTTTCGATGATGCTCATTTGTTTTCCACGCTGGATCACGCTCAGTTTGGATATTTCTGCGGACGAAGTTTCCACGCAGGCACATGCTTGCAATCTTGTGCTCTCTCCGTGTGTGAATTATTCGAGATTGTGTTAATAATACTCAAATTGTGTTTTAAAAGAAGCATACATAGTCATTGCAAGCATAATAAAGATGGACAAGGAAGATGGACAAGGAAGATGGATTAATGTAAATAAATATTGTAACTTTTTAAAATTATAAAAAATAGCGAATGTTCATTGTAAAAATATCATTTTACCGTTATTTACCCCTTAAAACTATGCAAATTTCATCTGAAACATTTTTTTCTAAAATGTATCGTTCAGGAGATATTTGAGGTTATCGTTTAAAATAGGATACATTCTCGTATTAAGAATATACTAATTATTAGATGATTACCCTCTTAAATTATGAGGATCGTCTCAGCGCTTATTTTAGAGGAAAACATACTATACGTAAGTGGGATATTCTTAAATTAAGAATACAATTTTTTCGGTGCACTACGCATCTGAACCAGCTTACGTCACATTCGTAAAAGAGAGAAAGAGAGAAGTTTATATGTATACACAACCCCTCTCTTTCTCTCCTTCGAAACGTGACGTATGTTGGTTCTATGTCACGTGATGATCACGTATATGCGCATAAGCATACCCTTGTTCTTGTATCATGGATACGTGATTCAATCATCAGTGTTAATGTTTCCCTTCAACTGGAAACAATATTCAGTTCTGCTGTCTCGTTGTTATATTTATTATTCTCGTAGTAAAGTGCTATACAAGAAACGCGTTAGCATGGACAATTTTGACATGTCTGCACTTTCGGATGAGGAAGATGACATTCATCATGAAGATTGTGAAAAAAAAGAGAAGCAAAAAGAATTCCGACTTCCGTTATTCTTAGATGGAAAATTTTTTTAATATATTCCCGAGAAAAGTGATTTGAAATCAAAAAAGGTTGTTGCTGAATGTATGAAATGCCTTCTCAATAAAATTGCAGTCAAGGGTTCTCTCATAGCATCATCTAATTTTGTTACACATTTGAAAAGGAAGCATACATCGAACGATTTGAAAGAGTACACTGAGTATATTTCCACGAATAAGAAACAAAAAATGGCCAGTCATGAAACAGATAGTCAAAGCTCTCAAATTAAACTAAGTCAATCGTTGTTTGATTTACGATTGGCTAAATTTATTGCAAGCTCTATGATTCCTTTAAAAGTGGTTGAAGATCCGTTTTTTAAAGAATTCCTAGATCTTTTTAATATCTCTACTTTTGGATTACACATAACGAGTAGACGCTTACTTACAAGACAATTTGATAATTTGTATGACAAGATTAATAGTACAATTTGAGAAAAGATAGAAAAAATCGATTTTGTTTGTACTACAGCAGACATATAGTCTACAAAAAAAAGGAGTTTTTTAGATGTAACCGCTCACTGGATCAACGATTCGTTGGAGAGGGAATCCGTTACTTTGGCTTGCCGTAGATTTCATAGTCCCCATACTTATATTCGAATTGCTGAATTAATAAATGAAATAAATCATAATTTCAACATTGACTGTAAAAAAATTACAGCAACAATAACGGACAATGGTAGCAACTTTTTGAAAGCTTTCAAAGAATATGGAGTAAAAGAAAACAGCATGGAAATAGTAGCCGATGTAGAAGAAGAATTTGTTGCTATCGTTACAGATGATCATGATGACACATTTGATAGTAACAGTAACAACGGGAGTGATGAAGATATATTGACGACTTCGAATAATGAAAATATCGATCAGGATCTTCATAATTGTCTACCAAATCATTTAAAATGTGCTGCTCATACTATTAGTCCCTATGTCACAACTGATGTTACTAAATTTTTGAAACGTTCTGTTACGTCCTGCAGACGCAGATTCTTTTCTTTCGAGAGAATCGGCTCCGCCGCAACTACGATTGGCGCCTGCGAGACGCGAGCAGGGGTCCCCCTATAAAAATTGAAAAACAGACCACCCAGGCTCCGCGAAAAACTCGTAAACGTCAATCAACCCGGAAAAATAACAACACTAACGCAGGCCTAAAAGGGACAAGATTGCGAAAAATATCACAAACGGACCTAAAGTCACGCGATGATAAAAATTCGAGCTATTGTCCGAATTGTTGACCAACAATTCCACCTTCAGAAAAACAGGCGCCGCGTCGCCACAAAAACCATAAAAACATGAGATAATGTCTCACAGCTGTTTAATTAGCCATATTTTCCGCGAGGATGACGGAATTGATCACTCGCTTAAAGCAATCTTGCCCCTTTTTAGAGAAAACATAAATCATTCCTTTTGTTCTCTAAACCTCTTTTAACAGTGTACTTTAGATTAACAACGATAGGACACCTTAAAAATCGTAAATCTCGCGCGACATTGCAACTAACTATTGCATCCTAGACAAAGGGCACTACGCCCTTTTTTCGGGGTATAAATAGAGGCCCCGCGGAAGCATACTCGCTCAGAAAAATTCTAACCGTCGCGGAATCCACGTCAGTAGTACGCAACGTAAACAATAGCCGTTGAAAGTGCGTCACGCCGAGTTCAAATCCACGCAAGTTCGTGGAAATCATTCGAGTGCTCTGGTGATCTCTGGGGTTCAAACATCACCACCCACCCGCCAACCGCTATCCTCAGGCGCTCTTGCGTGGACGTCG